AGCAAAAACAATGTGTGTTTCTGCAAGGAACAATATATTCTAAAATGAAATGGAGATCTTTTTTAAAGGTTAAAAACTCATTCAATTTTATGTCTTACAGGGCTTATACTGAGTTCAATATTATGTAACTGTATTAACTCAACTGTGAACCTAGAAACTTGCGTCCACTTGTGAAAGAGATGTCGTCTTGCTCTGGAGTGTGTTACTGAATATGTTAAAGCTGTAGTGAAATGCTTTTTCTAATCACGTAGTTATTAAAAATGATTAAATAAAAGACCAAAACAAAAACAAAAACAAAACAAAAAAAACCAACCCGAGAAACAAAACAAAACAAATCCCCGCCCCCCCGCCATGAAACACACCCAGAGCCATGAAAGCCCCCAAAAACGAATATGTTAGGAATTCTGACAAAAACCAAGAAAGAGCTACCTCTCAGAAATTATGAACACACGGTAAGAATAGCATTTCACAGAATAGGATCATGAATCACTAAGAAAAATATAAAGAACTAGGGCTGGGGAGATAACTCAGCAGTTAAGAGCACTGGCTGCTTTTAGAGGACCCAGGTTCAGTTCCCAGCATCCACATGGCAGCTAACAACCGTCCATAACTCCAGTTTCAGAGGATCCAACACCCTCTTCTGGTCTCCACAGGCACTGTACATACATATGTGGTGCACTTACATACATGTAGGCAAAACACTAATATACATAAAAATATTTGAAACTTAAAAAAGAAAGCCACCTTCAAGAGTTAAGGGGTCAATCTTTAGTTTGTTACTAAGATAAAAGATTAAAGATATACTGGTAGCTTCTTAGTTTTTATTTTTTTGAGACAGAGTCTCACTGTGTATGTACTCCTGACTGACCTAGAATTTGCTATGTAAACCAGGCTGGTCTTGAACTCACAGCAATCTGCCTGCCTCTGCCTCCCCAGCCTTGGGATTAAAGGTGTGCACCCCCATGCCTACTCCCTTTTGTTTCTTAAATTAATCCTTAGAAAGAAATATATCTCCACATGTATAGCCGTATTATTCACAATAGGCAGAAATGCAACCAGCCTAGATGTCCAGAAGCAGATAAATGGATAAAGAAAATGTGGTACATATATACAATAACATTTTATGTAGCTATAAAGAAAAACAAAATCATGACATTTGCAGGAAAGTGGATTCAAGTGGAAATCATTATGTTAAATTAAGTAAGCCAGACTCAGAAATACAAATACTGCATGTTTTCTCTCATGTGTGGAACCTAAATTCAAAATTGTGTGTGTGCGTGTGTATGTGTGTGTGGATGTGTGGATTTGTGTGTATTTGTATGTTTGTGTATATGTGTGTCTGTATTAGTGTGTGTGTATATGTGTGTGTGTATGTGTGTGTATGTGTGGATGTGTGTGTATGTGTGTATGTGTATGTGTGTGTATGTTTGTGTATGTGTGTGTATGTTTCTGTATGTGTCTTTGTATGTGTGTATGTGTGTGTATGTTTGTTTATGTGTTTGTGGGTGTGGTGTGTGTATGTGTGTGTAAGTCTGTATTT